CCCCCCCGGCTCCGCTCGGGTCCTCGCGCTCCCTGCTGCCCCGCGCGGGGCCTGCCGCAGCGCCCGTCCTTGGCCGCGCTCGCTCCCTCGCTCGCAGGGGCTTCTTCGTGTCGTCCAGGTCCGGTGCTGAGCTTGGATGAGGAGCTCTCGGGCAGGGACTGGCCTGCAGCCCTGTGCTTGCCCCGCGGCCTGCTCTGCTCTGCTCTGGGCGCCCGGGGCCAGGGATGCGCCAGCTCTGGAGGGGGCTGAGCAGGGCGCGGAGCTGATCTCTGGGTGTGTTTGTTTTCCTGTCCTCACCCTGGAGCCCGCGCTCCCCCTCTCCTTGCACCTGCCCGAGGCCTTTGAACTTGGGGAGGGGAACGTTTGCCAAATACTAAGCTGCTTTTCTGCGGGGTCTGGAGGTGCCTCCCAGCTAATAGTTTTACAGCCTGTTTTTACTGCTCTTGCCCAGCTCGTGCTGCTGCTCCCAGTTGCAAAATCGCCTGCTCGCTGGGGGCGGAGTGACTACTTATTTTGCGGTAGCCTTGGAGTGCGGTCATGTCCCTGAGGGCCCAGGGAAACGCCAGAGGCAAGGATTGTTGTGGGTAGCGGCTGCCTGTAGAGCTGGGCGAGGGGCATAGCTGAGCTCTCGGGCACTGCCGTACCCTTCTTCTGGTTCCTGCAGCACCCGGTTCTGCCTCCTGGCTCCCATCTGTAGTTGGCTGTTAATGCCTCGCCTGTGCAGGTAGTTGTGGGTCTAAAGGCGATGTGGCATCATTCCTCTGGTCCACCCACCCCGGCTTCCAGGCACACGGGTGTCAGGCTTCCTCGCTCCCTGGCTGCCGCGGGTCATGCTTCAGGGGAAACCCATCTTCTGCTGCTTTGGCAGGCGAGCATCCTTGGCTTGGCAACAGTGTGCCCTGACAGCGAGTTGCAGATGCCTCCACAGATGGGAGCAGGCATGGGGAACCCTGCAGAGGTAGCCCTCCGTTCGACGGTGCGTGCTTCGAACAGGACACTCTGGAGTTAGAGCAGGATCAGAGCCGTGGGGTGATTCTGGGGCTGGAGGCAGAACCTGACCTACAGCAGCAGCCGTGGAGGGTTGAAGGGATGTGGTCGTGACCATGCACACAGAAGGGATCTCTGGTGACTGAGTGCCTCGGCGGGCAGCCGGAGGCAAACATGGAGTTGGTGCTGGTCAGCAAGGTGCAGATATGCCCCTGGAGCAGCTCTAGTTCTGGGGTGCATTTGCCACTTGGGAAGTGGGCGTCCTATAGTTGTTGAGGCCATTGCAGGAGGTGCTCAGGGCACATCTGGCTCGCGTGGCCCAGGCAGTCAGGAGGGTCCCCAGTGGCAGTCCTGCAGCACTGTGGGGCATCATGCCT